CTTTCCTAGGTTTCAGACCATGTTTCTTGGTGGGTGCCCACTTGCGCCATTACTCCCTACTCAAGTCAGGCACGTTTCCCAAATCTTGCTAGGTTAAGTATTACCCCACTAAAAGAAAAGGAAAAGTAAGTGGAAATAATTATATTCGTGATTAGTATAAATTCGTTGTTAAAGGTAGGTTTATTATCATTATAAAAATATAAAATTCAAGGACCAGGATAAGGACGGTTTTCCATTTATTATTACATGTTAAAGGTTCAATCATCTAATTCCCTGATTTCTTAATTTGAACCAATTCTTCCTTTTAAATAAAACTTTAAAATTTACAATTTAGAATGTTTGAATAATATCTCTTGATAATTTCTGTGAGTTGTTAGAGTTAATCAAAATGGATTCTTGAAATGTATAATCAGTATTTCCGTGTGATTTTCTTAATAGTAATAGTAATATAGTAAATCTTTTCAAATTTCTTGTGATCCTTAAACTACTATTTCACAATGTAATTCTACAAATTTAACTTGGAATGTTTAATGAGATTTATTTCTCTGAGATACATAAATGTTATAATAATATAAGATTTCACATTAAAACTGTCAATTAAATATTTCGTCATCTGTTTGATCAACTCAAATTTATATAATTACTCCAACTTCTTTAAAATATCATAAATACAATCTTGTAAAATTAAATCCTTGGATCATAATCTCATTCTGAACATTACGCCAATGGTTCTATTTAATTGTTGATCATTTTAATTTTCAAATCTTGGCCCTCCCACAAAGATTGCCAAATACAGCCATATGTTATATTTTAGTTTTAGGTTTTTGTGGTCATGTATATAGCATTTTGGGAAAAAGTTTGAAGAAGTACAGTACTTGAAAATTTAAAGACACTTTATTATAGATATAAAAAATGATTTTTTTACTGTTTTTTTTTTTTTTGTTCCATCCAGATTCAAATATCTAGATCTTTTTAACATGTAACTCATATTAATAATCCACCAATTTTCAAAGGACCATCAATTAATAACCTTCTATTTAACCTCAGATTTAAATTCAAATGTTCCCTTCTTTCAAGATTACCAATATCATAATAAAATTCAAATGGATATTTCTATTCTTAATTGATCTTATTATCATCCTCTTCATTACCATCACTAATACCAAGATTTGGTACTACAATTGTGCACCTAAAGATTTGGCTAGATTTATATTTTTATTTAGATTTGTAAAGGAATCAAGGAACCTCGATTGCTATAGTTGATGTTTGAGCATAAAAACAAAAATTCGCATTGT